GACCCAGAATAGCAAAAACAATGCTAAGCAGGAAGTGTGAATCAGGCGGTATAGCGATACCAGACTTCAAACTATACTACAGAGCAATAGTAACAAAAACAGCATGGTACTGGTACCAAAACAGGCGGGTGGACCAATGGTACAGAATAGAGGACACAGAAACCAATCCACAAAACTACAACTACCTTATATTTGATAAAGGGGCTAAAAGCATGCAATGGAGGAAGGATAGCATCTTCAACAAATGGTGCTGGGAAAACTGGAAATCCATATGCAACAAAATGAAACTGAATCCCTTTCTCTCGCCATGCACAAAAGTGAATTCAAAATGGATCAAGGAACTTGATATCAACTCAGAGACGCGCCGTCTGATAGAAGAAAAAGTTGGCTACGATCTACATACTGTGGGGTCGGGCTCCAAATTCCTCAATAGGACACCCATAGCACAAAAGTTAATAACTAGAATCAACAAATGGGACTTACTCAAACTAAAAAGTTTTTTCTCAGCAAAAGATACAATAAGAGAGGTAAATAGAGAGCCTAAATCCTGGGAACAAATCTTTACTCCTCACACTTCAGATAGAGCCCTAATATCCAGAGTATACAAAGAACTCAAAAAATTAGACAAAAGAGAACAAACAACCCAATCAACAAATGGGTCAAGGACCTGAACAGACACTTCTCAGAGGAGGACATACAATCAATCAACAAGTACATGAAAAAATGCTCACCATCTCTAGCAGTCAGAGAAATGCAAATCAAAACCACCCTAAGATACCATCTCACTCCAGTTAGATTGGCAGCCATTATGAAGTCAAACAACAACAAGTGCTGGCTAGGATGTGGGGAAAAGGGTACACTTGTACATTGCTGGTGGGACTGCAAATTGGTGCAGCCAATTTGGAAAGCAGTATGGAGATTTCTTGGAAAGCTGGGAATGGAGCCACCATTTGACCCAGCTATTCCCCTTCTCGGTCTATTCCCTAAAGACCTAAAAAGAGCATGCTACAGGGACACTGCTACATCGATGTTCATAGCAGCACAATTCACAATAGCAAGACTGTGGAACCAACCTAGATGCCCTTCAATGGATGAATGGATAAAAAAAATGTGGCATTTATACACAATGGAATATTACTCTGCATTAAAAAATGACAAAATCATAGAATTTACAGGGAAATGGATGGCATTAGAGCAGATTATGCTAAGTGAAGCTAGCCAATCCCTAAAAAACAAATGCCAAATGTCTTCTCTGATATAAGGAGAGTAACTAAGAACAGAGTAGGGTCGAAGAGCATGAGAAGAAGATTAACATTAAACAGGGATGAGAGGTGGGAGGGAAAGGGAGAGAGAAGGGAAAATGCATGGAAATGGAAGGAGACCCTCAGAGTTATACAAAAGTACATACAAGAGGAAGTGAGGGGAAGGGGAAAAATAATATAAGGGGGACAAACGAATGTCAGTAGAGGGGGCAGAGAGAGAAGAGGGGAGGGGAGGGGAGGGGAGGGGAGGGGGGATAGTAGAGGATAGGAAAGGCAGCAGAATACAACAGACACTAGTATGGCAATATGTAAATCAATGGATGTGTAACTGATGTGATTCTGCAATCTGTATATGGGGTAAAAATGGGAGCTCATAACCCACTTGAATCAAATTGTGAAATATGATATATCAAGAACTATGTAATGTTTTGAACAGCCAACAATAAAAAATTTAAAAAAAAACAAAAAAAAAACAACAAATCTATAGTTTTATGAAGCATCAGTAGTGACTGATACTGATGTACTCAGGCAAAAACACTATTAAAAGGCAAGAGGAGGAAAAAAAGAAACTTGGATTGTAGTGGTCTGACTTCAGCATGGAGAAATCCAAGTTTGTGTGTCTAATGGGATGGGTGGAAATTCATCTGGAAAAATTGGCCTTTGAAAGGCAGCTTCTTGCTGACTAAACCCAAGGGTTTTCTCCTAGACCTTGATTCTGTGGCAACCTCCAGCACTGGAAGTTCACTCAGCAAAGCTTGTGGATGACCATGGATGTCTGAGCCCAAGTGGTAGCATGACTGTATTTTTGTTTATTTACACTTTCCTGCTTTGGGCTGGGGCTGGGGCTGGGGCTTGGTGGTAGAGCCCTCGCCTGGCACAGTGAGGCACTGGTTCAATCCTCAGCAACACATAAGAATAAAATAAAGGTATTGTGTCCACCTACAACTAAAAAATACATATTAAAAAAATTTCCTCCTTTTTAACCTCTCTTTCCTTTCCTATTTTTTAATAGCTTGGTATTACATTATACACATCATTACACATTTATCTAAACCCACAGAATGTGCAATACCCAGTGTGAACCCCAATGTAAACTATATTCTTTTGGGGATCATGATGTGTCAATGTGGGTTTACTAATCATAACAAAGGTACCAATCACTCAGAAGCACACAATGATAAGAGGGAGGCTGTAGGTGTGTGGGGTGGGTACACACAGCTTGATTTTGCTGTGAACCTAAGACCACTCTAAAACAATTGTCATTAAAAAAAAAAAAAAAAAAATATATATATATATATATATATATATATATATATATATATATAAAGAAAGCAGGAGACATTAATAATAATTAAGTAAATTTGATAAAAATATGAGTTAAAAACCACCCAAGAAAAACAACACTGATCTATTCTATACATTAAAATACAACCTTTCCTCCCTACTTCTCACACACATGAACACTCTTTATGGGAACAAGGAAAATACTTATTTTTTTTCCTTTTTGTTCAATTCTAAAAGAATGATTAGGCTGACTGACAGAGGCTGTGGAGAACGGAGATGAGCTAATGGAATTTTTCATCTTTAGTGCAAGGGCCATGTAGCTTTTCAAATGAGACTGCAGTCAGTCATGTGAAATATATAGCAAGGTCAAAGTTAAAATGGGTTCTGACCGGCTGTGGTCTGAAAAAGGGGGAAGCCAACAACATTAGCACATAAGAGCCATGCCATAAAGATAGGAGAGTTGACTCACCGATGCCCAAGATGTCCCTCAGGACAGCGGGTGGGGCTGAGAGTATGGGGGGATGTCAGGGAACAAACACTGAGCTCAGCAACACCCGAAAAGAGCTTCTTATTATCCCTGTGCTCACGGTCCTTCCATTGTGCACCTACCCACAGTAGCAAAATGCAAAGTCTTAGCTGTTAACAGAGAACGGTTCCAGGGGCCTGTCCCTATTTTGTAAGTTTACTGTGCATTTTACAAAACCTTCAGGGGCCATGCTGTGTAGTTTGTAGTATGAAGAATGACAGTAGCTTCATAAAGCGCTCGATGTACAGATAGTGATGATTAAAGTTTCAGAGAAGTTAAAATATAGCTTATAAATCTACCCTGGAACTGGGTTTGGTGGCACACACCTGTAATTCTAACAACTCAGGAGGCTGAGGCAGGAGGATTACGAGTTCAAAGCCAGCCTCAGCAACTTAGCGAGGCCCTAAGCAACTTAGTGAGACCTGTCTCAAAATAAAATATAAAAAGGGCTAGGGATGTGGCTCAGTTAAGCACTCTTGGGTTCAATCCCTGTTACGAAAAACCAACCAACCAATCAAAAAACCACCCTGGTCAGTAGTCACTGTCTTGGGGAAAACTTTTACACTAAATTATTAATGGTGTGTGTGGAGGGGGGGCAGATCATTGCCTGGTCTCTTCCATCTGCCTAGTAAGTGCCTATTTATTCTCAGAGCCTTTCCTCAAAGCATCACCTCTGCTCTGAAGCTTGCCCAAAGCCACCTGAGCAGAGCAAAGTAACCCCTTCACTTTGCAACAATCCTCACTCTGTACTATGATCCTATTTTTTTTTTTTTTGTAGTACTGGGGAATAAAACCGGAGCACTCTTACCAGTAAGCTACATCCCCAGCTCTTTTTATTTTGAGACAGGGTCTCACTAAGTTGCCTGAGCTGCCCTTGAATTTATGATCTTTTGTCTCAGTCTCCTGAGTAGCTGGGATCACAGGTCTGTACCACTGCACCCAGCTGGATTTCGTCTTTTGTGACTGTTTCCTCAATAAATCTGTACACTTCTTGTCATTCACACACATGCACACACACTTCCTTCATCTGCTTGACAATATTAAAATCTTTCCGTAGGGCAAGACTTTTATCCTACAGCTACCTAGAATGCTGATGGTGCAAATAATCATGAGGGAAGTGTCATATTGCCACGAACGTTAGATAACCTGTTTTACCCCTTTCCCTGATAGTTACTCTTCACCCTATCACGATTTGGCTTCAGCCTCTAATGATCCACTGAAAATGATCTGGCAAAGGTCACCTTTTTGTACTTCTTGAATTTTATAGCATGTGCATGTATGCATACAAAAAAGTTGTATTTAAAAGTTCTAGAGAACAAGTGCTTTAGGAAGTAGCTGAGTAGCTCTCTGGGCCTTGGTTTCCTCATCTCTAAAAAAATGAGGGGGCTCAACATTGTCACTAAGATCTTGGCCAGCTGAGAAAGGTTACATTATGTTCAGTGCCTTTAGTTTAGGAAAATGGGGGGGGGGAGAAGAATCACTTAAACATGGCTCAATATGCCCCACAAAGAATTGGCCCCTCAAAGTAACTTTGTGTAAAATATTTTGAAAACTAGGTAGATTCACAGTGCACACCACAATAAACCTTGCTGTGTGAGCTTATATCTGCTCCCTCCACCACCCTTGGTCACTTTCCTAGTACAGGTCCTCAAAGACCTACAGAAGCCGAGACTTAAAAGCAGCTGAATAGCATTCTGGTAGTCACCATTCAACACAGAGAAACAGATCCAGAGTCAAGGGTTTTCCCACAGTCTATAGATTACTGTAAGAGGAGAGGCCAAATGCTGCACCTTTTAATTTCTCCCAGCAAAATAAGTATTGTTTTTAATCCCTTTGAGAAGTGTAAATACAGAAAAAAAAATAGGTCAGAACTGGAATCTAAGTGAAAAACGAAGCATTCTAGAATCTCAAGAGAATCATCAACTCACCAACTTCAGTGCCTTTTCCCAGAGTGAAGGTAATTCCATATCCCTTGAGTCCATCTCCTGCATCAGTCTCCAGGACAACATAGGCAGCCGAGTAGTCAGGGTCTGTATGCTGAAGGAAAGGTGACCCATACCCACCAAATGCAAATGTAAGAAACCCAGAAATAACCATGACAATGACACCTGAAACAGAAAATGCAATAAGGGACATGCCAAGAAGAGATCCAATCTGATGGAAGAGTTGGCGCACCCCCCAAAAAATACAGGAGATCTGAATGGACCAAAGGAAAGTCCTGAATGGTTCACACCCGTTCAACAAATACAATGTATATTTTTTTCCTTTGGTGCTGGGGATAGAATTCAGGTCCTGGAGCATGCTAAAGCATACCCTGTACCACTGAGCTACACCTCTAGTCCCAGATGTACACATATTTTAATGCCAATTTGCAATGATATCAAAAAAACTGATGTTCAGCTGGGTGTGGTGATGCATGCCTGTAATCTCAGTGGCTCGGGAGGCTGAGGCAGAAAGATTGTAGGTCAGCCTCAGCAACTTGGCAAGGCTCTGAGTAACTTAGTGAGACCCTGTCTCAAAAAAAAAAAAAAAAGTTAAATAAAGGGCTGGAGACATGGCTCAGTGGTTGTGTGCCCTTGGGTTCAATGCCTGGTACAAGGAAAAAAAAAAGGTCATCTGCTCAATTTCATATTAATATCATTGTCATTACCGTTATTGTCATTTGTGGTGCTGGTGATCAAAACCAGGGCTTCATACATGCTACAAAAGTGCTCTACCACTGTGCAATGTCTCCAGGTCTCAGCTCAATTTTAAACCCAAGAATTTCCAATCACAGCTCACTGAACAGAGTTATGTTAGCAAGTAGCTTAAAATTGAACAAGCCAAGGTTTCAGAAAGCTCTTACATAAAATTGGACTGATCTTCACTGCAATAGTTTATAGCAGGGATGATAATATAACAGTGCAAGTTCAGAGACTACTGGCAGAAAAAGAAGTAAAGCTTCAAGACAAATTAACCCATTTTGTTGTTGTTGTTTTCTATTGTTTTTATTTTTATTTTTTTATGGTACTGGGGATTGAACCAGGGGTGTTTTATCTCTGAACTACATACCCAGCCCTTTTATTCTTTTATTTTGAGACAAAGTCTCACTAAGTCACCAAAGCTGGTCTTGAATTTGCAATTGATCCTCCTGCCTCGGCCTCCCAAGTCACTGGGATCACAAGTGGGTGCCATCAAGCCTGGCTAGAGAAGAGTCTTAATGGGAATGTGCAGTGAGATGGGAAAGCCTTGGAGAGGGAAGAAGGGGGCCAGTGCAGGAAGAAGGAGTAGTCAGAAAGGCTGAGGCTGGGAGCTAGACAGATGCACAAGGAAGAGACAGCAGATGGCATGAAATGCATGGAGCGTAAAGGTCACTGGAAGGAGAAAAAACTGAAGGCAATTCCAAGAGAAGGAAGGAAAGAGTAGTCAATTTCAGATTAAGAAGGAAGGAGATGTAAAGGATAAGGCAACAGACCTAGAGCAGGAAGTTTGGGGATGAGAGGAAGAAACCAAAAGGAGCTAGAAAGGTGTAAGGATCAAACTCAGACTCTTCTAAAGGGAAAGCTCTGTCCATGTGGGATGGAAGAGAACCAAAGTAAATAGGGAGTACTGAAGGACAAAGGGATATAAGTGGGACCCTTGAGAATAAATAAGGGAAGGAGAATGATTAGCTTTGGAGCAGGACATGATAAAGAATAAAGGGAGGGCTGGGGATGTGGCTCAAGCGGTAGCGCGCTTGCCTGGCATGCGTGCGGCCCGGGTTCAATCCTCAGCACCACATACAAACAAAGATGTTATGTCCGCTGAAAACTAAAAAATAATATTAAAAAATTTAAAAAATTCTCTCTCTCTCTCTCTCTCTTTAAAAAAAAAAAGAATAAAGGGAAATAGGAGAGGGGTTGGTTTGGAGACATGTGTGCAGAGATGGGGCCAAGAGTATGACTGTCTTCAGTCTTCTCAGTGATGCAGTAGGCAACATCTTCTAACTGCTGGGAGGACAGGACTAGGGATTAAGGGAGCTCACAGACAAGGAGCAAATAAGAGGAAAAATACTGCAAGGAGGTGCCAGTGGGCAGCTGAGCTGGGATGAGAGCTCACAGCTGAGGGGCTCTCTGGGTGCTTGATGAGTGCTGGGAAGCAAGAAAGTAGTAAATACATGCAGGCTGAGTGCTCCATGTTTCCAACAAGGGCAGAAAGAAATGATCAGGAACTTCTGCTTTAACAGATTTTGAAGACAGTTTCAGGACTCCTTTATAAAAATACCAGACTTCTCATCAGGAAGTTTTGCTCTGCTAAGTGCTGAAAAGTAGCTGAAGTGCTGAGTTCAGCATGGCCAGAGGGCAAATGAAGCAATCACCGTGGAGAACTGCAAAGCAGCGTGTTCTACTAAACGCTTGAGAGTCAGCACATAACATACACTCTATCTCCTGAGGAGAAATGCTTATGTGTTTATGAAATTGCAATACAGGTATCAGATAATTTTTCCTCACCTAGGGGTCATACACCACTCAGTCCCAGAAACAAATGCTATTTCTTAAACTCTCCTATAATAAAATAGTTTATCTTAACACTTCACAAATTCAAAGCTCAGGGCGAGGTCAGAGTTCTTTCTGCTTTCAGTTTCCTCTTATGTAAATAGTAACTATAGCCAATTCTTATTGAGGACCTTCTCTCTGTCAGCTCTTTTCAAGTATCTTATTTTACATGCATGAAGTAGACACCACTGTACCCATTTTATAGATGAGAAAGCCTAGGCTTAGAATGTGGGTTTACCCACAGCTGTCAAGCTTCAGAGGGGCAAATGCAGTAGCACTCAATTAAGTGTTCGCACTTTTACAAATTAGTAAAATTTCAAATATTTATTTGGAGGTCCACAAAGGATCATCAACTGGATTTACAAAAAGTCATTTATCATAATATCATTTGTGAAAGGACTTGTAGGAATTTTGAAAAGCAGTAAGATGCTAATGCCAGAATAAGGGATACTTTTTTTTTGCATTTAATAACATTATTTAGCATGTTTTGAGAGGACTATTAGAAAATTCTTTTACAAAGAATTTCAGGTTCATAAAGAGCAGAGAAAAATGTAAAGACCACCAATCTGCCATCTACCCATCTTGGAAAGTAAAACATCACAGTGTGAATAACGAGTCCTTGGGTACCTTTCCTCACCCCATTTCCTCTTCACCCCTACAAGGAAACATTTTCCTAATTTTGGTTATTTCTCACTTTGGGGTAAGTTTTTTTACATTTCCTACATATGGAGTCAACTTTTTCCTAGTATGGCCATCTCACCAGAGGAGCAAAGTGGATCCAGTGGGGCACAGTCCCTGTGAAGACCCTTCTCAGAGGCTGAGGATGTACTCAGAGGTAGAGTGCTTGCCTAATATGCCACAAGTCCCAGGGATGGAATCCCAGAACTGCAGAAGGAGGAAAAATCCCCCAAACAAAATCCTGCTCAGAACCTTTATATTTAGGAACACCACTAGAGACAGCTGGGAGGTGGGGGCGCTGGGATAGGGAGAGGGGTCCCTCTGACATTCTCATTAAGGGGAAAAAGTCCTTCAATATTTTGCATAACTCCTTACAGTGACAAATCCTTCCTAACCAAGTTTCTAAGTACAGTAATTTCACGAGTGTTCTCCTATGTGCCTAGAGTATTTTTCGGTGCTCAGTTTCTCATTCCAACTGTGACCCCTTCGTTTCATAGTCCCAAAAGGCACAGAGAAGTTTGGGTCTTCTCCAAGGTACACAGCAAAGTTGTGGCAGGGGCAGGATCACCACTCCAGACTCCCAGCACCGGACTTCCTGGTCTCTGTCACTTCAAATCCTATCAAGTTCACCGCGGGGAAGCTGTCAGCACTGTTTTCTCGGGTTTCCTTGGTGGGGACCCTATAGAACTCTTTTGCACTTATTGAATAATAAGCACTCTCTCCTTTCCAGGAAAACGTGAATCAAAAAAAGTAAAACCAAGACATTTCAAACGCGGGCAAATAAAACACGATAAACAAGGGGAAAAAATAAACCAGAAAGGTGAAGAGTTTCTGGCTGCTTCCTCAGCGATATGAAAAGCGTCCACCTTCCCCGCGCATCCAGGTCCCACTGTACTGAAGCCAGGTAAAGCCCGCGACTCGTGGGCCTGGGTGTTGTCCCGGCGGCGCCTTGGGCAGTCGGTCACGCTTACCATGGCGTCTGAGCCGTGGCCCCCGAGCGACGTGGGGAAGCGCACGTCCCGGACCGAGAGGCGGGAGATCCTGCCGCGCGCCATGTTGCCGGCGCCAGGGAGCCGTCAGCCGCGATCCCGACGCCGAGAGCCGCAAAGGAGCGGCGGGGCGGGGAAGCCTCGCGGAGGGGCGAGCGCTGATTGGTCGCCCGAGGTGGGGGGGCGCGGCCGCGCACGTGGACTTGGCCTCGTGGGTGCTGCAAGTTCAGCTCCCCCGGATTCGCCCGCCTTTCTCGGAGTTTGCGGTTCAGGCTGGCCCGCGCGGCCTACGCGAGGGTTCACTCCCAGTCTAGATGGCCCCTGGGGGATTAGGAGGTGCGTGCCCCACTGGCAGCCCGGCGCAAACCTGCCCCGCCTCGACTGGAAGGGAAGGGACTTGCCAGGAGCGGCGCCGAGAGGGAGAAACCAAGTTCGACCTGGACGCAGGTGCGGGTCAGTGGTTCGGCCCCGCTCCAGACAGCACGTCCCCAGGAGTGTAGTGGAGTAGAAAATTCATTTATATGTGGTGCTGAGGATCGAACCCAGGGCCTTGAACGAGTGCTCTACCGCTGAGCCATATAACCCCAGTCCCCCTAGATCTCTTTAAACGCCCTCAGTCTTTTTGCCACCGGACAGATTAGAAGTTAGCAGGGATTACCTACTCCATTTACAGCTAGTGAAAGAAAGGCACCTGGTATTGGTTGTAAATATATATTGCCAACTCCAGGGCAGCTACTTTAAAAAGTGGGAAAGAAAAGTATAACTGGTATGTTAAGAGAGAGAATACAATCATATAAAATCCTCAGTTCACAAAGGGCGGAAAAAGAATGGAAAGCAAAAATAGGAACAAAGAACAAAGAAACGAATAAAAATAGTGACAAATGTAGTAGATATTAATAAAAACTGAATATAAGTGGTCTACATGCACCAATTAAAAGACAGAAATGGCTAAGACAAATACAGATTACAAGTAAATGGTTTGTGTCCCCCCCCCACCACCATATTGAAATTTACTGATATGATAGTATTAAGACATGGGATTAGGAGGTTGCTAAACTCATGAGGGCTCTGCCTTCATGAGTGGAATTAGTAACCTTATAAAAGGATGGGAGGGAATAGCATTCACCGCTTCTTCCTTGTGAGGGCACAGTGTTCAAGAAGCTATCTTGGAAATAGAAACCATCGTCCTCTCCAGATACCAAACTGACTAGTGCTTTTGTCTTGGATTTCCTAGCTCCCAGAACTGTGAGGAGATAAACTGTGTTCTTTGTAAATTATCCAATGTATGATATTTTGTAATGGCAACATAAACAGAGTGAGACAGGTAGACAAAAATACACCATGTCGGGCTGGGGCTGGGGCTCAGTGGTAGCACACTTGCCTGGCATGTGTGAGGCACTGGGTTCGATTCTCAGCACCACATATAAATAAATAAATAAAGGTCTATCAAAAATTTAAAAAATTTTTTAAAAATACACCATATTAACGCTAATCAAAAAGAAAGCAAGTATGGCTATATTAATTTCAGTTGGAGTAGACTTCAAAGCAAAGAAAGATAGTCAAGGATAAAGCTTGAGGCTAGCCTCTGCAATTTAGGAACACCCTGTCTCAAAATAATAAAAAGGGATGGGGATATAGCACAGTGGTAAAATGGTCCTGGATTTAATCCCTAATCCCTAAAAATAAAATTAAACACTCCAACAATGTATAAAAAGAATTACAGACCCCGACCAAGTAGGCTTTATTCCAGGTGTGCAAGGCTAGTTCAACACTGGAAATCAATCAGTGTAATCCATCATTCAACAGGCTAAAGAAAAAAAAATCATGTGATAATAAATGTAGAATAAGCATTTGACAAATCTAATTTGACACTCATTCATAACAAAAACTCAGTAAACTAGGATTAGAGGTGAACTTCCATAACTTGATACGGATTATCTACAAAAGCTCCTATAGCTAAAATCATATTTAGTGTTGAGAAGTTTTACCACCAAGATCAGGAAGGAGCAAGGCAAAAATGTCCCCTCTCACCACTGCTTTCCAGCATAGTACTGGAAGACCTAGATAATCTAATAAGACATAAAAAGGAAATAGAAGGTATATGTGTTGGGAAGGAAGAAATAGAACTCTTTGTTCCACTGATGATATGATTATCTATAGAAAAATTTGAGTCAACAAAAAACTACTGGAACTAATAAATGATTATAACAAGTTTGCTCATATAAAGTTCACATATAAAAGTCACTTTCTTATACACTTGTTCCAATGAACAAATGGAATGTGAAATTAAATACAACACAATTTACATTAGCACCTGAAAACTGAAATATGGAATATTTTCATTTCCCTTAAAATCCTCTGTATTCTGCCTATTTATTCCTCCCTCTCTGCTAACCCCTGGCAACCACTGAACTTTGTCTTTTGTTATGTCTTTTCCAGGTCATATGGTCGAACATCCAGTACCTAGTCTCTTTCAGATTGGCTTCTTTCCTTAGTAATACACATTTGCATTCACTCTGTATTTGTTCCTGGCTTAATATTTCACTTCTTTGAATTTTAATTTTTTTTGGTGGTTGGGATTCAACAAAGGCCTTTATGCAGGCTAAATGTGCATTCTGCCACTGAGCTATATTCCTGGTCCACTCATTTTTTTTTTTAACACTGATTAATAATTAATTATCTGGATGTACAATGGTTTGTTTATCCATTCACCTACTGAAGGACATTGTGGTTGCTTCCAAGATTGGTAATTATGAATAATGATACTACTTTAATCTGAACATGTACCTTCCAAAATACAGATGTTGAAACTTAATGGCCAATGTGATGATCCGAAAGAGGTGGAGCCTCTAAGAGGTGATGAAGGTAATGAGGGCTCCTTTCTCATGAATGCAATTAAGGCTCTTAACAAAGAGGTTTCATGTAGCATTTGGCTGTCTTACCTTTCTGCCTTTCACCATGTGGGGACACAGCCCTCCTCCCCTCTGGAGCATGCAGCAACAAAGCACCATCAGGGAAGCAGCGAGCAGCCCTCATCAATGCTTTGGTCTTGGACTCTCAGCTTTTAAAACTGTGAGGAAGTACATTTTTGTTCTTTATAAATTACCCAGTCTGTGGTATTTTGTTATAGCCCCACAAATGGACTAGTACAACTGCTGTAAACATTCATGTGTCTGTGTTTGTGTGGATGGATATACATTTTCAACTCATTTGGGCTTCTCAGTATTCACCAAGCAGCAGGATTTTTAGAGTACATGGAAAAAGTATGTTTCATTTGCAAGAAACCACCAAACTGTCAACTTGATTCTACCATTTTATATTCCCATAAGCAATGAATGAAAATTCCTGTTGCTTTACATCTTCACCATCATTTGGTTGTATCAGTGTTTGGGGTTTTGGCCATTCCAATAGATATGTAGTGTTAACTTGTTTTATATTTCTCTGATCAGATATGTAGTGAAGCATTTTTTGCTATGCTTACCTATCATCTGTATATCTTCTTTAGTGAGCTATCTATTAAGGTCTTTGGCCATTTCTTAAAATTCAGCAATAAGATAACAACCAACCATATTAAGAGTTCTTTGTATATTTTGAATAACAAGCCTTTTATTAGATATGTCTTTTGCAAATATTTTCTCCAAGTCAATGGCTTGTCTTTTTGTTCTCTTGGTAGTGTTTTTTGCAGAACAGAGATTTTACATTTTTAATGTCATATATGGCTACAAATCCATAGAAAGTACAACACTAAAACTGAATCCAAACGTAAACTGTGGAAAATACAAGAGGAGGGACATCTCCTCATTTTAAAAAGAGGTTAGAAGACAATACTTTCAGGGATCATTTCTATAGTTTGTTTCTAGAGAAGTTTCTTTGAATGTGTAGAGTACGGGAAATGACAAGAAAGAGATGAAGTGTCCTTTCCTGAGTGTGAAGTTGGCCCTTGCTTTGTTCCAGCTGCTATTTGCCACTGCTGACCATTGTTCTCCCTTTGGGGGAATAACAGGAAGAGGACACCATCTGAGTGGTTTCTGTTATGATTTTGGTAAAAATAAAAAAAAAAAAAAAGTAAAAAGAAGTTAGTATATTACCCTGATACTAAAACAAAGGTTACAAAAAAAGTTACAAAAAAAGCTACTAGAACTAATATTAAAAGTTCACAGGATACAGGGTCTATTTATTTAGGGTTAGGGATTGAACATAGGGCTTTTCCAATTTATATTTGATACACTACTTATCAAGAATTGGAAGTTAAAATAAGAACATAATACATCAAGTCAAGTGTGGTGGGGGTGTGTCTGCTGTTCTAGCTACTTGAGGGGCTGAGGTAGAAGGATCACTTGAGTTCAAGGAGTTCAAGGCTAGCCTGGGCAACATATTGAGACCCTGTCTTAAAAACAAAATCAAAACAAATGAAAACCAATATCTCTTACAAGTGCATAAAAACTATGAAATACTTGGGACAAATTTAACAAAAAAATATGCAAGATCTGTATGCTGAAAACTTTAAAAATTGCTGAGCAAAAAGAAGACTTAAACATATGGAGAAATTTCATATTACTGGATTGGAAAATTCAATATAGATTTGATGCAATGTAATCTGAATCTCCAGCAGGACTTTTGTTTGTTTTGGTGGTGCTGGGGATTGAACTCTGGGGCTCAGGCATGCTGGGCAGGCCCTCTACCACTGATCTATATCCTCAACCCTTACCCAGGAGGGGTTTTAAACAAAGGTTGACATTTTAGTTAATTCTAAAATGTATATGGACAAAAATATGTGTGGAAATTTAAATAGCCAGTTTTCAAGAGGAACAAAGCTGAAGAACTTAAGCTATCTGATTTCAAGACTTACATGAAAAAGTTTTCTAAAAATGGAATACAGACTAAATCTAAGAGTTAAAATGATAAGACTTGTAGAGAAAACATAAGAGAAAATCTATGAATGTGGGTAAGCCACGTTTTTTTTTTTTTTTTTTTTTGGTACCGGGGATTGATCCCAGGTGCACTCAACCACTAAGCCACATCCCCAGCCCTATTTTGTATTTTATTTAGAGACAGGGTCTCACTGAGTTGCTTAGCACCTCACTTTTGCTGAGACTGGCTTTGAACTCTTGATCCTCCTGCATCAGGCTCCTGAGTGG